CATATGCTCCTACTGGGTATTTACCCCAAAGATACAGATGTAGTGAAAAGAAGGGCCATCTGTACCCCAATGTTTATAGCAGCAATGGCCATGGTCGCCAAACTGTGGAAAGAACCAAGATGCCCTTCAACGGACGAATGGATAAGGAAGATGTGGTCCATATACACTCTGGAGTATTATGCCTCCATCAGAAAGGATGAATACCCAACTTTTGTAGCAACATGGACGGGACTGGAAGAGATTATGCTGAGTGAAATAAGTCAAGCAGAGAGAGTCAATTATCATATGGTTTCACTTATTTGTGGAGCATAACAAATAGCATGGAGGACAAGGGGAGATGGAGAGGAGAAGGGAGTTGAGGGAAATTGGAAGGGGAGGTGAACCATGAGAGACTATGGACTCTGAAAAACAATCTGAGGGTTTTGAAGGGGCAGGGGTGGGAGGTTGGGGGAACCAGGTGATGAGTATTGGAGAGGTCACAGATTGCATGGAGCACTGGGTGTGGTGCAAAAACAATGAATACTGTTACGCTGAAAAGAAATTTAAAAAAAAAGTTTTTAAAAAAAGCAAAAAAAAAGGAACATATGCTTCTTTTTTTTATTAATTTTTTAAATTGACATATAATGTATTATTAGCCCCAGAGGTACAGGTCTGTGAATCTCCAGGTGTACACACTTCACAGCACTCACCATAGCACATACCTCCCCCAATGTCCATAACCCAACCACACTCTCCCTACCCACCTCCCCACGACAACCCTCAGTTTGTTTTGTGAGATTAAGAGTCTCTTATGGTTTGTCTCCCTCCCAATCCCATCTTGTTTCATTTATTCCTTTCCTTCCCCCCCAAATCCCCCACATTGCCTCTCAACTTCCTCATGTCAGGGAGATCATATGATAATTGTCTTTCTCTGGTTGACTTATTTCGCTAAGCATAATACCCTCTAGTTCCATCCACGTCGTTGCAAATGGCAAGATTTCATTTCTTTTGCATAGTATTCCATTGTATATATATAAAGGGTCATATGCTCTTAAGCAGGCTGGGGCTAGGGTGAGGTGAGTTAAAGGAACACCAGAAAACTCAGTATTCAAGCAACATACCAGTTTAATGCAATATTCAAAAAAAAATCAAGGTGGCAAATTATAACCTATAGGCCAGCTGCCCGCTTTTGCAAATGAAGTTTTATTGTGCTGGGATTAGGGTGAGCGCCGCAGGACCGTGTCAATGCAGGACCTTAATTTATACTTCTGATATGTTGTTCATCCTGGAATTTTTTTACATTAATTTTGATTTAAAAAAAATATTGCATTCAAATATTTTCTTGATTATGGAGTCTTTTGGCAACCTCTTAAATTTTACAGTCAAGGCAAGTGCCTCACTCACCCCACCCTGATCCTGGCCTTGCTCTTAGCTCTCATTTAACCCAGGACAAGACTCCCTTACTTATTACTGACTTTGACTTTTTTTATTCTTTCATTAAACATTTATGGAGCACACAGCCAGCCAGCCAGACAAAACTCTCTGCAGATAAAATTAAAACCCCTGATAGAAGGAAGAAGCATTCTAATATTGGACATGACATTGTAATATACAGAAAGAGCGACAACGTGACCCAGAACCAGGACGGGGAAAGGCGGAGGGACATCTTCCACACCCACAGCCGGCTGAGGATCTTACTGGAAATTAGGCTCCGAAATAAAGGATCCTCCTGTGGCTCCTTTTAGCACCTTCTCCCACCTTTTTCTGCTCCCCTTTGCCATCAAATTCTCCAAAGAATACAACTTGGACCTCTCCAGGAGACCACATCGGTTGTCTAGATTTGGGCTACTCGTTCTGGGGCAGAGGACGTCCAGTGTGAGCAGTGTAAAGGGTACTGTAGCATCTCATGAGGGACCTGAACCTGATTGCTCCATGTTTAGGGATCTCTAATTTCAGGGACTCTGAGTCAATATGCAGACTGGACTCAGAGAGGGACAATTCTATTGACAGTAGAGCCAATACAGAGGGAACTAGAGACTCAGTTGAGGCCATGACCCAGCTGTGGGATTCCTAGTAGGTAATACATTTCTTTTTCATTTTATGAAACAATATGGGCGTCTTGCCCAAAATTAGCTTATGTGTTGAGAACCCTCAGGGATTAAATATTGTTTATAACAAAACTTATCATTTAATTTTTATTTAAGGACCACCTGGGTGGCTCAGGGGGTTAAGCGTCTGCCTTTCGCTCAGGTCATGACCCCCGGGTCCTGGAATCGAACCCCACATTGGGCTCCCTGCTCAGCGGAGAGCCTACTTCTCCCTCTCCCTCTGCTGCTCCCTCTGCTTGTGCTCCCTCTCTCTCTCTCTGTCAAATAAATAACTAAATAAATAAAATCTTTTTAAAAATAATAATTTTTGTTTAAAATTTTTTTTTGTTTTGGGGTGCCTGCGTGGCTCAGTGGGTTAAAGCCTCTGCCTTCAGCTCAGGTCGTGATCCCAGAGCCCTGGGATTGAGCCCTGCATCTGGCTCTCTGCTCAGCAGGGAGCCTGCTTCCTCCTCTCTCTCTCTGCCTGCCTCTCTGCCTACTTGTGATCTGCCAAATAAATAAAGAGCCTCTCCACCTCTCCATCTGAAAGAGATTCCTGAGCTTTGAGAGGATGTCCCCAGTTCTGGAAAAATCTGTGGAGGGAGAAAAAAAGTAGAGAGAGACCCCACCAAATAAATGCCCTCAGATGCTTTTGGAACCAAGATGCTTCCTGCCCGTTTCTGGATACCTTTTGAGGGATGACATTAGGATGGACACCTGGGAACTGTGGTGCCAGGGAGATCTGGTGAGAGCGGTGGCTGCTTGTTCCACATAAAACCACAGGTAAATCACTCACCATCTCCAAACACAAGGTTCCTTCCCAGCAAAGTGGAGGGTGATGATAATGTCACTTCCCAAAGTTGTGAGCATTGGAGAATCATGCTTTCAGAGGGCCTGGCGCACTGTAGACCCTCAGCTTGGATGTGCCCAGTTCTTTGGACTGTTGCTAGTGGAATTACTTTGACAAAGGGGTTGAGGTGGCTTGCCTAAGGAACCTATTTGTCTATCGGGTTACATTTGGGGTCCAGGCATCAGAAGCTGGTTGACTATTTGTAGGACACTGAGCAGTTTGGAGACCTGGGGCCACTTGCCTCTTTAGTATTTGAATGTTTGTGTGGCCAACAGCTCAGAAGAGAACTATGCATAGTTGCCTCATATCCCCTAGAGAGTTCCTCAGCTCAATGAGAAGGAAGAACTGGGTCTCAACACCAAATACGAAACCACAGGACCTCTCCAGAGACCCTAGCAGCCAATTCCACCCATGATCACAGAAGGTGCCAAGGAGCACTGCATGTTCAGGGAATTCCTTAGACCCATAACACAGCTGCATTGTAAAGCCAGTTCCCTGAATATAGGTTGTTTTCTCATATTTCTGTAAAGGAGGCTTATTTGGCCTGGATATCCTTCCCATGCATAATGCATCAGAAGAGGGCCGTCACTAGGGTTGTGCAGTGTACAACCTGCACAACTGTACACAGCAGCCCTAGGTTTAAAAAAAAATGGATTCCAAGGGTCAGAGAAATTTGAGCCTAAGTCCCATTTCTGCCATTTATTCTCAGTAAAACCATGAGTAAATTGACCTTTCTAAATCTCACTTTCCTAATTTATGAAGTTGGAATAATTATGGATAGTGGGTACCTCTTAGAGGTATTGTGAGGAGTAAAATAAAATAATATATATGTGAAGATTTTAACACAGTGCCTGGCACATAGAACATGCTTTTTTTTTTTTTTAAGATTTTATTTATTTATATATTTATTTGAGAAAGAGCATACACAAGCACTAGTCAGGAGGCAGGACAGAGGGAGAAGACGACTCCCCACTCAACAGGGAGCCCAAACACACACAGGGCTTGATCCCAGGACCCTGGAATCATGACCTGAGCCGAAGGCAGCTGCTTAACCAACTAAGCCACCCAGGCCCCCCAAGAACATGCTTAATGAAAGCTATAAGAATACTTTTTACTCTCCATGGCTAGCTTTTAGTACACCTTTAAGATCAGCTTCTGTGTCTCCTCTCCTGGAAGACTTTCCTAATTCCTGCCCAAGCCAGGTCAAATGCCCCTCCTCTGTGCTACTGTCTCCTCCCGTGCTGCCTCCCAGAACTATGACCTCTTGCCATCAGGGACTGCCTTTCGCATGAAGACTGTAGGCATCTAGGATAATGCCTGGCACCTAGTAAGCACTCACTGAACGCTAGCTGAAGAAATGAATGACTCAATACTGCCTTCAGGGGGAGCCCAAGGGAAAAGGGTGCTCTTATTTTCTGGAGGTGGAAGCCCATGATAGGAGAAAGAGGCAGAGAAGTGGGGAAGGAGAGCCGGGACTGGACACCTGCCAACAGCAGGTCAGATCCTTCCTGTGGTCATTTTCTGGGTGGAAGAAACATTAAGTGAAACCTTGTACCAAGCTGTACCTAAGAAGATAAACAAGCCAAGGGTTCCACAGAGACAATGGCCCAATTCTTCCTGACTGGGGAAGGTGGGAACCGTGGGGAACCAGACAAACATCCCCTTCCAATTTCCTTCCGTCCATGCTCAGCTCCTGCACACCTCCCCCCAACCCCACTCTCCACCCCGGCACCCGCCCCCCCAACCAGGGCCAAGGCGGCTTCAAATCCGGTGAGATCTGTGAAGGCTGGCTGGAGCCGCAGAGAGTCTGAATCACCCCTAACCACAATGGCCTTAGAATGACAGAGGCTTTCTGTTTCCAGGGTGTGTTCTAAAGTGGGTTTTGTTGGTGGCACAGTTTGCTTCCACGTGGCCCCTGCCAACCGGGAGATTCGCAGTTTGTGTAGATCAAATTATTGAACTTCAAAACGCCCATGAAAATTGGTAAAAACAAAACAACAGCAACCGTGCAAAGCTGGGGTGGGGGGGAAGGGGAGGGAGAGATGTGGTTTAACAGGAGCACGTGTGACAAATGATTTCGCAGCCCAGACACCCGGAGGCTCAGCATGAGTCAGCTGAAGGATGTGGGTGCCAAGAAAACCTCAGGCAAGCCTGGACCCTGTGGAGGCTTCCAGAAAAAGAAAGGTGAGGGCTAACTCATACTCCACGCTGGTCAGACCACCCTGGAGGAGGTTTGGATCTGTCTGCATGCCCCATTGTGAGAGGAAAGGGTGTGTCCTGAGTGCAGTTACCAAGCTGGGGGTTGGGGGTGGGGCTTGGAGGGACTCAAAAAGTTGTCTAAAGTTGGACGAGAAGAAGAGATGAGTGACTTGGAGAGGAAAGGGCTTGGGGGGAGCGGGGAGGAGGGAGATCTGCTGCCTGTAACTTCTACCTGGAAGGCCTCCTCTTCCTGCCTGCCTCATGAACTCCTATTCATACTTTAGGCTTCAGCTGTCCCCCCCCTTCCGCCACCTCTTCCTAGGATCCTTCCCTCCCCTCTCTAAGTAGAACCAACCATGCCTCCGTGGAGATGCCCTCCTGCTGCGTCTAGGGGTCAGGTCCTTTTATTACATTACCACTGGCACAGAATGACATTGGTTGAGCAGTGACCCCATTCTATTTCTCTCTGCCACCCTAGTGCTTGGCATAGTGACTCTCCTTCGGCTGATGTCTGACTTATTAAACCACTGGCATGAAAACTGTCACCGAACATCCTGACCACGAGGAGGAGAGATTGTATTCTTTCTATGTGGCTCGAAAAGACGGAACTGGGAAAGAGGGCGGAGATGACAAGAAGGTGGATTTTAGCTCAAAACTAGGAAGTACTTAATAATAATGACGATATCTTTGCTGAGCCTTTTAGTCACATGTGGCCATATAGCAAGTTACTCCAAAACTTAGTAGCGTGTAACAACAACAAACATTTGATATCTCACAGAGTTGGTGGAGGGTCAGGAATTCAGGAGTGGCTTAGAAGAGTGGTTCTGGCTTAGGGTCTGTCGGGCGCTTGTGGCCTAGATCCCAAATGGGACTGCACTCACCTGAAGGCTTAACTGGGGCTGGAGGATCTGCCTCAAGATGGTGCACTCACATGGCTGCCGGCAGGAGGCGATGGTTCCCAGATGTGGAATCTCAAATACATAGAGTGTTTGAGTGACCTCACAACATGGTAGCTGGTTTACACCAGAGGAAGTGATCTGAGAAAGAGAACAAAGAGGAGGCTGCAATGTCTTTTACGAACTAGCCTCAGATGTCAGAGTCTGTCAGTTCTATAATACTCTGTGTCAGGGCGCTGGACTGGCTCAGTAGGCAGGACTTGCGACTCTTGGTCTCCAGGTTGTGAGTTCAAGCCCCATGATGAGTACAGGGATTACTTAAAAATAAGTTCTTAAAAATAAAAACTAGAGGCACCTGGGTGGCTCAGTCATTAAGCATATGCCTTCGGCTCAGGTCATGATCACAGGCTCCTGGGATCAAGCCCTGCATTGGACTCCCTGCTCAGTGGGGAGCCTGCTTCTCCCTCTCCTGCTTCCCCTGCTTCTGTTCCCTCTCTTGCTGTCTCTCTCTCTCTCTGTGTCAAATAAATAAATAAAAATCTTTAAAAAAAAAAAAAAATACCCTGGTGGATTATTTACAGCTACTGTAAGGGTAGGAAAAATAATTTTTAAAAAATAAAAAAATAAAATAAAAACCAACTGTGTGAGAGAAGACTACACATAGGCATGGATACTAGGTGGTAAGAACCACTGTGGTCACCTTGCAGGTGGGCTGGTGTACTGAGCCTAGCCTAGTAGCAGCCACCATGCTGGCTGTCCAGGGCCAGATCTCTCCTGTCATCACTACCACAACTTGGGAGGATGGCATCTTGTTATCTCCCTTTTATTATGTATTTATTTTGGCTTTCTTTTTTAAAAATTTCTTTCTTTCTTTCTTTCTTTCTTTCTATTTATTTATTTATTTACTTATTTGACACAGAGAGGGAGAGAGCACAGCAGGGGGAGTAGCAGAGAGAGAAACAAGGGGAAGTAGACTCCCTACCAAGCAGGGACCCTGATGTGGGGCTCAATCTCAGAACCCTGGGATCATGACTTGAGCCAAAGGCAGACACTTAACAGCTGAGCCACTCAGGTGCCCCTATTTTGGTTTTCCAAGTACTTTAATTTTTGTCACAGAAGTGGTGTCTGCCTCAGTCAGTAGAGCATATGACTTTTGATCTCAGTGTCATAGTTTGAGCCCCACACTGGGCATGGAGATTATTTAAAAAAAGAAAAGAAAAGAAAACATTAATTTCCATCACAGAAACAATACATGTATTAGTAACTAGATCATAAATTGTATAAGCAATATCCTAAGCATTTTAGAGTTTATTTATTGGAAATCTGAATGTCTGTGTATACCTCACTGTCCTCTGCAGGGAGAGCTGATGGTATATTTTCAAATTCCCATTGCCTAGATAAAGAAACCAAAGCACATAGATGTTAATGAACTTGTCTGTGGTCACCTACCTGGAAAGTCTCTGAGCTTTGCTTTAAATTTATTTTATTTTTTTAAAAAGATTTTATTTATTTATTTGAGAGATAGAATGAGAGGAGAGAGCATGAGAGGGGAGAGGTCAGAGGGAGAAGCAGACCCCCTGCCAAACAGGGATCCTGATGTGGGACTAGATCTTGGGACTCTAGGATCATGACCTGAGCCGAAGGCAGTTACTTAACCAACTGAGCCACCCAGGAACCCCTGAGCTTTGGTTTAAACCTAAAAACCAGTGATTACTTTTTGTGCCAGATTTTGCTGCATGTGCTGCCTCATGGGTCTCCACTGGCCCAGCAAGCTGGAGCGATTTTGTTCGACCCTGGCTGCATGTCAGCTGCAGTTGGGGAGCTTTACAGATGCCTGATGCCTGAGCCTAAACTCTGGGGATTCTGATCTAATTGGTCTGGAGTGTGATTCTGTTCTGCAGGGTCAAACACTGCCAACACTGGTTGGGAGTCCGATGATGCCTTCCTTCCAAATATTGCATTATCACCTGGGCTAAATGGGACATGCTCCTATTACCAAGCAATTGGGGACTCAGATATAATTTGTACATGAGTTCCTAATTGTTATCTTGGGTCCTGTGGAGGTCTGAGCTTATCTTGAAAGGCAAGAAGATGTTGAATAGGCTGGGAAGGAGGTGTAGTCCAGCAAGAAGGAAAGACTCAGGAGACACCTAATGCCAGGATAGAATTTCAGGAATATAAATTATTAACAAGAGGCTCTTTACAGAAGTCCTCTCTCAGCTTCTCTCCCAGGCTATCCCTCCGCCCCCACCCTGCATCCACATCCCCAGTTCCTACTCACTGTCCACTTTGGTTAGAGACATTTTTCTTGATGCAGATACAAAGAATAAGCAAGAAAGGGCCCCAGGGCAAAGAGTTTCTGGAACCACAGGTCCCCATGGAGGAAGGAGAGAGAGATAATTCCTTTTAAATTAATTCTTGGTTGTTGTCCTCTGCTTCTTGATCATGACATTGCCCTTAAGTTGAACCATGAGACCATGCTGTCAGTTGGTCCTTATAAGCATAGGAAGACTGGTTGAGGCTTCTCTGTGGCTTTTCTGTGAAATCACACAGCACCTGCATACCCTGCTCATCAGTGTAAGCACACAGCTGCTATTAACACCAGTTCTGGAGGCAGAATGGTATGATGTCCTTTCATCAGAAAATGTTGACTGAGGGACCGGACAGGGCACCGATCGGGACATTAAAATGAAGCCATGAACCAAGCAAAGAGCTTGCTTTCATGGACATCTCCAGAGAGCAAAGCAAATCCTCTCTAATGTAACATGGCTGATATCAGAATCCTCAAAAGGACCCTCAAGAAAAGACTAGAGAGATGTTTTCAAGGTGTTGAAAGAAACAATTTTGACCCTGGAATTTCATATCCAGCTAAGGTATCTTTTAAAGGAGGGAGTGAATTGAAGAGTGTCAGGTACCAAGGAGGCCCTCAGAAGATTCCCCATGCAAAGACCTGCTTTGAAGACAGTGCTGGAGGGAAGTTCTCCAGCAAGGAGAAAAATAAAGCCAGAGAATATTTTGAGATACATGGCATGGAAATAAGTTAGCTAAGGGGCACCTGGGTGGCTCAGTCAGCCAAGTGTCTGCCTTCAGCTTGGGTCATGATCCCAGGGTCCTGGGATTGAGCCCTGCATCAGGCTCCCTGCTCAGGAGGAGCCTGCTTCTCCCTCTCCCTCTGCTGCTCCCCCCCACTCTCACTCTCTCTCACTATGTCTCTCTCTCACAAATAAATAAATAATACCTTAAAAAAAAGGGGGGGTAGTAAGTAAGCCAAGTCCTTTGCTATGTAAATAAATGATGACAAAAAAAGAAAAACACTGGGCACCTGGGTGGCTCAGTTGGTTAAGTGACTGTCTTCAGCTCCGGTCATGATCCCGGAGTCCTGGGGTCGAGTCCTGCATCGGGCTCCCAGCTCCACAGGGAGTCTGATTCTCCCTCTGACCTTCTCCTCTCTCACACTCTTTCTCACTCCCTCTCTCTCAAATACATAAAAATAGAATCTTAAAAAAAAGAAAAGAAAAAGACTATAATAAGCCATAACCCAAATTCTAGGCGATACTAATACTAATAGCAGAAATGAAAAGACCAGAGCTAGTGAAACATATCTTGGATGTATCTCTTTGTGAGAAAACAAATAGATATTGATAAGTCTAAGTAGTTAAATGAAGATGAGTATACATAACATGTATTAGGAGTTAACCCCAGAAAAACAGAAATAGAATTATGACTTTTCCAAACAGCAGAAGAAAATCTGTTCTATCCAATGATAGGTGGAGAAGTAAAAAAGAAACAAGATGAAGGTATGAAATAGATAACATGAAATTAGGGGCATCTGGGTGGCTCAGTCGGTTGAGCATCTGTCTTCAGCTCAGGTCATGATCCTGGGGTCCTGGCATGGAGCCCTGAGTTGGGCTCCCTGTTCGGTGGGGAGTCAGCCTCTCCTTCTGCCTCTCCCCCTGCTTATACCCTCTCTGTCAAATGAGTAAACAAAATTTAAAAACAACCATGAAATTAAATAGTAGTTAGTCTTAATATGCTGGTGATTACCACTTACGTAAATGGGATAATTCACCAATAGATTCTCAAATTGGA